CAGCGTGCTCGTACGGTTAAATTTAACCTAACTACGAGATATATATATATATATATATATATATATATACAATATATATATATACATATATATTGTTATACGCTTCACTTCGGGGGAAGACGTTGCTTCGGCCGAAAGTCGCGGAATTGGCGAGTGAAACGACGGAGCGGAAAAAAAAATGCATTATTCAAGCGAATTTCCATCCGTGAGAAGTCTCGGTAGATGGGTAGCTACGTCGTTAGATTGCTCTCTTGCCGCCGTTTTAATGACGGTTTGCTCCCTTTGCTTTCGGTTCTCGTAACGAGCAGCTTCGGCATCGTTATGACTTTCGCGCTGTATCGTCGGCTTCGACACGACATCGATCGACGACGTATTAGCAACGTTACTTTCCTTCGTTCCAACGTTATTCCCATATATTAATATTTCGCTTCTTCTTTATCCTTGCACACTGTTTACGTACACGTATCTCTTTTCTATCCTCTTTAATGTACGAATGTAAATGCCTTGCTTCGCTTTAACTTTCTCCTTTAATATTTACTTTTGGACCGAAAGTAATATCCGTCCGAGTTAAAGCTCCATCTTTTAATTCTTTCCTCGCCACTTCGTTTTTTCTTTTCTTTTTTCTTTTCTTTTTGTTTCAGACAACAATTCCACTTCAGATACCTTGGATCTGAGCTCGCACAATCATTACCCTCTGAACGACAATTCTATCGCTAGCACGTCCGGCCCGCAGGAAGTCGTAATGAAGGAAAAAAGCAAGAAGGCAGCGCGTATCCGCCGCGACAGGGAGAACCAAGAATTTTTGGAGCTGGCAAAGTTGTTGCCTGTACCGGCAGCCCTCACGGGACAAATGGATAAAGCCAGCGTTATTCGATTGACCACCAGTTACTTGAAGATGCGAGCATTGTTTCCAAACGGTACCATTACAAATATATATATATATACGTATCTATTGAAAATCATCAACTTTAATATCGAGAAAAATTCAAAAAATTCCATCTTATTCCATCTATGAGAACGATAAATGATGGTAAAACAGATCGAAGAACGAATCGATTAGTATTTATTCGAGCGAGCGGTTTACGCGGGGACCGATACCACGTGCCAAGTAATAAACTTCACTTAGCGGTAAACGGATTGAAACGGTATTCTTGTTAATTCAGCCACCGGACACTTACGCGCAAAGGGCAAATAGTATCGGATGAGATGGATGTGATTGCGCACTTAATGCATTGTTAGTCCCCGCTGCTTTGTAAGCAAAGCATGGGGGCTGTTATAGTGTTACAATGGCTTCCCCCGTCTCACCCCCTTCCCTCGCGTTCTTACGACATCGGTGAATTGAATTTCAAGTGGCTGCATCCCTCTAGAATACGGCCGCGTCTTTATTCTTCGAAAAAAAAAAAGAAAAATGAAAGGAAAGGGGGAGGGTGCGGGGGCGAGGAGGATGGGAGGGGAAGGGAGAGGGAGAGAGAGGGAGGAAGGTAAAAAAAGAGAGAGAGAGAGAGACACGTTGCCCACTCTGTGACACTTCGCAAGGGTGTTCCTTTTTATTCGGGATGGAAAATTAGCCGGTGAACAGGTAAACGAGCGTCGAATCGTTTCTTTTTTTTTTTTTTTTTTTTGTCATAAATCAAATTACTCAAGTTCCTATTCCATATCTCGCACGAAAGGGAAAAATAGCGATAAATATGATAATAGCCAATGATTTACAACTCTACGTCGATTTTTATCGACAATCGTTTACTTAACAATTATTATTTCGTGGCTGCTGCGAGAGGGACGTCGATAAGTGAGATATCTGATAAAGTTAAGAAACATAAAGTGGAAACGTCGGCGTGATGGAAACGATCAAGCCATTTTCCGCGAGATTCCGCGCGGCTGCAGAAAACGCCCCTGCAGCTGCAACCATGGCGGCGCGAGCGTGAACGTAATTAATGCGCGGACACGAAATACTTGGCTATAGGCTTACTTACACGTCGAGTACGAAACGTCACTGGAAACATGTATATCGGGATAAGAAGACCGAACCGTGTTGCGATGTGTGCCGTGTCCTTACCGAGGACATCTCTCTCTCTCTCTCTCTCTCTTTCGCCTAATCGTTCCGATTAAAAAGAGCAATTATAATCTTCCCCTATTGTTTCGTTGTATATCCATATCCGTATCGTTGAAAAAAAAAAAAGAAACGAGCGGAGGATCGAATATAAATCTACATTTTTGGATTTTCTCGGCGAAAAATGATCAACTATTCGAGCAATCTGATAAATTATATTTTAAATAGAGTATATATTTGATTGGGGAAATGATAAAGGTGAAACTCGCTTTACGAGCGAATCTTTCTTCACATATCCCAAGAAAGACGGATTTAGACGAATTTGAATTTTTCTGATCGCACTTAAGAAGATTGGTTGGAGGAGGAAAGTCTGACGGTCCGAAAATCATTTTTCAGGGCTCGGTGAAGAATGGGGCGCTTCCCAGCCAGGCAACATCTCCCTGCAAATCGCCCTCAAGGAGGTGACTAGTTATATTTTGCAAGTAAGCACTCATCGTTCTCTGTGTCGCGCCTTATACAACGACGTAACGTTTAACGCACGTTGTTAGACTAAAAACAACGTCATGTTTAGCCTCGGATATCTACCACAGACAGATACTTCATTTTCCTGACAACCTTTATAACATCGTTTTCTTTCTAATTAAACGAGATAAGGGCGCGACCAGGAGTTGAAAACTGTTCTGTTCAATACGAAAGAGATCAGGGCTGTAACGAGGCGTTGAACTCTAACTTCTCTAACTTCAACCAGAATACTCTTTCCTTTTTTTTTTTTTTCTCATCATTTTTTTCGTCTTCCTGTTCCTCGAATTACATTCAAACGAGAATTATACCCCTTACTTTTCAGGCTTTGGACGGTTTCGTGTTTGTCCTGGCGCCCGATGGCAAAATTATGTACATAAGCGAGACTGCCAGCGTGCATTTGGGAATGGCACAGGTCAGGCATATTTTTTTTTTTTCCTCTCCATTTTTCTACTCGAATGCAAAAATTTCAAATTCAGAAACATCAGGAAAATAGAATTCTAACGAATCGAAATAAATAAATCCTGCTGACGAACAATTTTTATGAGTTCAGGTGGAATTAACGGGGAACAGTATCTTCGAGTACATCTACCAGAACGATCATGCTGAAATGTTGTCGGTTCTAAACCTACCACAGAGTCCAGCAGATCTGGCAAGCTTCACTTCTGCGAACTCGAGAGGCGAAATCGAGTTGGAACGTGTTTTTATTCTGAGGATGAAGTGCAATTTGGCGAAGAGATGCGCGGGACTAGTCACGGAAGGATACAAGGTAAAGGGATAAAAATTCATTAAAAAAAGGAAGAATATGATAAAATAGAATACAACGATAATGAATTATCTCGCGCCAAGCCTTTTCCTTTCCGGGAAATTTTCTTCAAAATAATTGAAAGCGCCCGCGATGAAATCTCGGGGATGAAAATAAGCGGTGATTATCGGTTTATTGGGTTTCGTAAATCGCGCAATATTCGCGGCAAACAAGCCGCGGGAGAAGACGTCGAGACGATCAGCGATTAGCATAACGTCTAGGCTGCTTGCACAGGAAATCATAAAACGAATAAAAATTCAAATGCTAAATAAGAGATAAGAAGTGGCGAGCTAAGTAGGGACGGTATTGTCCTGGTCACGCGCGAGTCGAAAAGAAAACGGCCACCAGGTAGAATGCACGCTTCTTAAATTCGCTCGGCTGCATCCGTTTCCTTTCGTGTAAAATAAAAACACAAACCGTGAACGTAATATCAGGAAAAATGGAAATTTACGGAAATCTATATTAAGGCCACGGTTTCAGGCCTACCAATTTTATTCCCCCTCGATTTCGTTTCGTTTCCCAACTCGTTTCGAACTTCCAATTTTTCTATATTTCTTCGGTCTACTGCTGTACCCTCTCCATTCTTCGTTTACTTTCGACAGCATGTTTTCCACGAAAATTTAAAAAAAAGGAAATCTCGATTTTCGTATCACGTACCTCCAATATACTTGACTAACAATTACATTCGACCGAATATCTTTATCTACATATTTCTCCAAGTAATCAGGCTCGATGTAGCCAAACACGATCGCGTCATATCTTTATTCACGGATCGTCTAAATTACTTTGATCCGATTAAATCGATATATCCCTGGTGTATGATATATGATCCGTATTCGACAACTGCTCGCCACTTACGATCATTAATATTACGATTTAGCGAAATCAGGGAAACCAGGCTGACCTATTTCACCCTGACGGATTTTGTCCATTTTGTTATGCCAAATGTTCCACATATGTTCGGCCGAATAACGATCTTACATACCTCGATATACCCTCGTAAAGGGTAACGAAGGGACCTGCGTTACACTTTGCACTTGCCGTAGCAAAAGAGACAGCCCTCGAGAAGGAAAATGTTTGGCAAATAGCTCGTTCAAGCCCGCAACGCTATGATGACCGTGGCTCTCGACGAAATCGCACACAGAAAAGACCCCAATAGGCGTTGAGCAAAGTCATGAATGCAACCCCTGTAAGCTGTTAAAGGCGCGGGTTCCCCGAGGGGGGTTCCGGGGGAACGAAGGCGGCTTTTTGTATGGCACTTAGACGCACAAAGCACCGAACCCGTAGTTGGCTCGACTCTGTGGAGGTGCGAGCACGCGTTTTGTTCAATTTACACGGATCCGTACACGATTACAGTGAATCGGATCAACGATTGTGCCAACGAATCGGTGAATAAAATTTGTTTCAGAATCGTGAACATTATGTCATAAACATTATGTCCATTTCCACGTAATTCGCACTTATTGCGAAACAGAGAAAGTCTTAACCTTCCTTCATTATCTTTTATTATCTCCTTCTTCTTATTTCGATTATCCGACACAACGATGAATCATCGATATCACTGTTATCTGAAATATCAGATTTTATACAGATATCTATCTATATATATATATATCTACTTATCTTAATACCTTAATTCAATATATTTAAAAATGCATTATCATCGATCGATCGGTGATTAATTAAATAATGAAGTCGGAATAAAGATTATACGCAAAGATCGTGATCTTTATAAATATGAATGAGAGAAATGTATGCAGATTTTGTTGTTAAAATTAATTAACGAATATTGCCTATCCTTCACTACACTTCTCTCCTACGTTCCTCTCGTATCTCGAATTCGTCTCCAGAGACTAAATTAAGCGTGTCCGCACGCACCCCGTCACGAATTATGTATTTCCTTTCCCGCCGGTTTCACGTCACCCTCGTGTTCCCGTGCTCGCACGCTCAGGCCCGCGCCGATGCACCGCGGAATTGCATACGCGACTATGCAACACGGGCATACGGAACAAGCCTATTTGCTTTACAAATCCGCGATGTACTCGAGACACGTTGAACGAGGCTTTTTTTCTTTCTTTCTTTTTTTTTTCTTTCTTTCTTCCCCCCCGTTTCATCGGCCATTTAATTAAGCAGGAATTGTTAATTTGCCGCGGGAACGGCGTCGTCGTTCCACGAATGCGAAAATCCGCACTTCAACCCCCGAGCGAAGTTGACAACTCGCTCGAGTGTCGCACTTACGCTCTATCGGGACCGTTGTATAACATTAAGAATAATCACGTGCACATGTGTAAATAACATGATAAGTCCCCCGTTTGTCGAGTGTACCATGCTTAATTGCGACGTTATTTCGTTTGAATAATCCTCTAAACTGTCTGCCCCTCCCTTGTCTTTGATCAAAAGTTAATTAGAAAATCCGAAACCTCGCCGAAAGTTGCAACCTGCAACGAGAATATTCGAATCTCAGGGAATCAGGGGGGAACCAACTACCTCGTCATTAATCCAATATGCATATATATATGTATGTGTGTGTATATAAAAGAAGAAAATTTTATTCGAAAGACACTTACGCGAAAAACTTTTTCTCTCCGCAAAAGAATCGATTACTGGTCTGGTTACAGGTGATACACTGTTCCGGCTACTTAAGATGTGTCGTGGAAGGGCCAGTGGGGTCGGAATACGAAGACGGTGCAGGCCGACACTGCATTCGAAAAGTCGGTTTACTGGCAGTTGGCCATTCCCTACCGGGACGTTGCCTAACCGAAGTCAAACTGTACCAGAACATGTTCATGTTTCGTGCATCGTTGGACTTGAAGTTGATCTTCGTCGACGCGAAGTAAGGACAAAGAAAAAAAAAAAAAAATAGAAAAAAAGCGTATGACCGATATAACCACTTTCTTTCTATTAGAAAATTATTTCGGTGAATCACGTTTATTGTCTGGTGTCTCGATTGAATTGGAGCAGGGATGGAAAAAAAAAAAAAAAGAAAAAAAGAAAAAAGGAAGGGGGAGAGAAAGAGAAACTCGACGAAACAACGGGCCAGATTATTTCTGTCGCTGCAATTACGGCGCGGTGTTAAGTTGCGTCGTCGATATTTCGACGCCAGAGGAGAGAAGGGTCCTGGTCGGCGGCCATTAAAATCAGTTTCGTGTTACCACGGACCCGCTAGATATTTTTTTCCTTCTCCCATTATTATTTATTTTTCCTTCTTTTTTTTTTTTTTATTTATTTTTTTTTTTCTTTCTTTCCTTCCATTTCGCTCTTTTTCCCCTTTCGTTTTATCCGCGCCAAATAAATATTCCGCGTGGACAAGGCTGTATCACGCGCGCGCGCGCGCGCACGATCCACGCGTGTGTACACGCTGGGAAATGAACACGTGACGGAGTATAAATACGGGGGAGAGGGGGAGGGGTGGTAGGGCGATGGAACGCGGGATGAAATTTTATATCGCGTCCACGGAAAATCGATTTCCACGGATGACGATGGTTATGTAAACCTCGAATTCGACGGGACTCCGGCAAATCCGAGCAAAAATAAATATATTCCGTTTCCGGAATATTTGTAGCGAAAGGAAGAAGGTATGACAAGCGATATTGTAGCGTTTTTTTTTTTTTTTTTCCCCTCTTTTCCTCGGTACTGTTGCAGCGTGTCACAATTGACCGGATACGATCCACCGGATCTCATCGAGAAGACGCTGTACCATTACGTGCACGGATGCGACATGATGCAGCTGAGACACGCGCATGGGACGCGTAAGTATAATTTTTATTCCTCGAATAATTATTCCGCTCTTTGCTTCGATCTACAACATCAGGCAAACAAAATTTTTAATACATTTTAATAAAATTCAAGAAGGAAATTTGATATTGTTGATATACGTTAAGAAAAATCAAATTAATATAAATATCTCGGTTGTATTAAAATTTTCGTATCGCAAATGTAGTGGAAGTAACGAGATGTATCGTGAAAGAGGAGAAGAGAACAGTAGCTATAGTCGATCGAAATAAGCTTTATTTCCCCCAATGCGCGCAGTCGAAAAGCGGTCTCAGAGGCGTCGACGTGGTATCAGAGTGCTCGAAGAAGAGGCTCTCGCAAGGCCAAAAGCAGCTGACGCTGCTTAACTCGGCGACGCCCTCGCTGACGAAATATCCTTTGATCTTTCCTTACTCCCATCCTCCGCGGATCGACTTTTGAGGCGAAGCAGCGGATACAACAGCATTTCCCTTTTTTCTCCTCTTCTTCCTCCATCCCTTCTTTTGCAAGCACGTTAAAGTCTAAAGTATATGCACACGTAGTACATACAGAGTGTACATTATTGATTGAACAATGCCGCTATGGCGCTATGAACAGTGTAGAAAAGAGAGGTTGGTGTATATATTTGTGTATGCGTGAACATCAGTTGTGAGGGTGGACGAGAAGGAAGAGAGATGGTGGGGGAAAGGGGGTGGTAGAAGAGAGGAGGAGGCTGTTACTGCTATCACTGTTTGAACAGACTCGCAGTTTCACGAGCGCAACTCGAAGGGAGCCTGACATAATGCCACTAATGTCCGCGCCTGCGGATTGTACGATCGACGTTACTCTCGAAAATTTCCTTTCAGAGATCTCCTCTTCTTACATATATAACCTCGCGAGAAGATCTAAAAATCGTTGGATATAATAACCCGTTAGAAATTAGAACGATGGATAAAAAGAAAAAGCGGCGATCCTTCTGATCCTATCCGAAGTATCTGAATGTGTAACAACGTTTCAATTCTTCCTCTTCTTCTTGTGTTCGCAGTATTGTACAAGGGGCAAGTAATAACCAAGTACTACAGGTTTCTGACGAAATCCGGAGGATGGGTCTGGATGCAATCGTACGTCACGATCGTGCACAATTCCCGAAGCTCCCGACCGCACTGTATCGTGTCGGTCAACTACGTGTTGACGAAACCGGAGAACACAGACTTGCTGTTGAATTGCGAGCAAAAGTCTTATTGCTCGAATCCAAGCAATCCGCCCAGCACCCCTCTGACCACACCGATCACCACTGGAACCGTGAACGAGTTGGACAATCACAGTCCCAGTTCACCGGCGTATCGAAGTAGATCGAAAGAATCGCCCGATAACGATTACGCGAACGGTGGCACGTATCCTAGACCGGAGTATATTGACCTGACGAATCACAATCAGTATCTGTCGCCCTCTTATCAACCTCAGAACGTAAACAGCAACTCTCACGAAGATAATCTTAAGTACAACTCCGACTGGTTTTACCAATACGGAGGTAAGAAGAATTTTCACCTTTTTCAAAAATTTGAAAGAATTGCAAGAGAGAACAGTTTTCTCCTTTCCTTTTCTTTCTTTTCTTTTTTTTTTTTTTTAAAGTTCCCCGATTAAAAGAGAAAACGTTTCTTCCTTAGATATACATCAAGATTCCCTCGCAGCAACGATACCGCAGCAACAGGAAGCACCGCAGCATCCGCACCCTCTGCACCACGCCAACTCCCCGTCGAACCTGCAACAGCACAGTCCCCAAAACGGTCAACAGAAGCACCAACACTCCCCTCATCTACTGGATCATCCAACGCCTCCGACAAGCCTGGCACAAGCTCAACCGCAACCGCAACCGCAGCAACCGCAACAACAGCAACCACCGCCGCAACAGCAACAGCACAGCCCTCAAAGTAGCCAACAGAACAGACCTTACTCCACCTCGTCGAGTTCCTGTTGCAGCACGGATGCCATGGATAATCATTTACCGAGTCCACTGAGCGTATATTCTTTGCCGCACGGTTACCACCCTTACTACCACCACTACATGCCCGACTCGGCCCCGTCTAATTTAAACGAGGTCGGTGGCGTGATCATGTACCCTAATTGTAGCCTTAACAACGAGGGCAACCACAACGCCGCAGCGGGCACCTCGAGCAACTCGAACAACGTCCAGCACTACGAGTCCTCGTATCAACCCCACTTGAGCCACTACAACACCAACAACAATCCTACCAAGCATTCCTACCATCATCATCAAGAAGGGACGCCAACCAGTTACACCAGCGTGATCGTAGACTCGCAACAGTACAGCCCAAGCTCCGTGCAGGATCTGATCCACTATCAGCATCATTACGAAGCGCATCATCAGTTCGTTCACTGACACCAGCTAGACGCGGCTTGCGCATAGCACGTCGACACCAATTGTAACCACGACTCGCTGTGCTATTGTGATACGTCCCCCGAGGGCAGTTATCCCGGGGCAAATAACGATTTTCTGCAAGAAGAACATCGGCCCAACATCGTCCCCGATCAACACGGTGATAATTCGAGGATTACGGCGATGAACGATGAACACGAGCAGGTTGTACAGGTGAAGGCCAAGATTTGGTACTTTAAACCGTCGGATTTCTGGAAAGTGATGACAGGCTTGTATTACACCGAGAACTCGTGAACTATTGACTCGTGAAGTGAGAATAGAAGAGTATAAAGTGAAATAAAACGACGTAAAAAAAAAAAAAAAGTGAAATATAACTAGGGTGAAAACGTTGAAAATGTTGATGAAAATGTTTTTCGCCGGAGTACTGCCGAGTATAATGCTAATGTATAAGACTCTAATGAGAATGATAGATGTACAGTCGATATATCGTAAGAAAATTAAGTAATTGTTTAAGAATTTAACGATTCCGAAGGATTGCTGTCGTATGTATGTAGAGTATCGATCTACCCCGATATTCGTTGATCCGTTGATCATTGGATCTGTTATTCGTATATTCTTTATTCACATATCAAGATGCTTAACTTTCTTGTTCGAGGACATATAGACAATGGTAATTGCGTTAATTGCTTCGAGATTAACATAAGTTAAGATACGAATATTGTAACGATTAATTACGTTCGTACGTTGCTCGATTTCATCATCGGCCACGAAAATGGAATTTTCGTTTCAAAACGCCTCTTAACATATCCTTTATTTATATTATTTAAACGTTCGTTCAACAACCGCTAATGATATTCATTAATGTTAGCTCATCAAGTAAAGCTAACCTTCTCGATCTTGTATTGTTTGATCAAAATTTGCATTCGGAATATTAACGAGCTTCTTCTTAATTTAACGAATCCACGAATTAATTATCATCAAACGGAACAGTCGAATTCGATTCGAGGGGATTTTCAAACGAGTCGTCAAATTCGAAGTGAAAAAAATGAACAGAATAACAAAAAATCTAATTCAAACGAATCGTAGAACAGAAGAGAAGAAAGAATTTCTGCAAATTTTACACGCTGGACGTGAGTAATTAAAATTTTTAAACGTAAGAAGTCAAAAAAAAAAGGAACAATATAATAATAATAATAATCGTGTCCATCGTGGACAAAAGATTTTATACGATGATTTAATTAAACGAACTGTTCTGTAAAAGTGTTGATACGTATAATGCAAGGAGTAGAAAATTACAGGCGCGTAATACGTGTAAAAGGAAGGGGGAAAGCGAATCGGAAAAAGATACTAAAAAAAAAAAAA